AATATGTTTTTAAGTTATTTGTCTAATGTCAACACGGATTTTCATGGTAAGATAAAAAGCTTAAAAATTCAATAAAGACTTTAAATTGCCTATGTTCCCTTAGGCCCCTCTCTGCTAAGGCAACCTGCAAGGAAATGGAGCTGCATACTCTATGTTCTTCTATATTAGGTGTGCTCAAGAAAGGAATGGCAGGAGTTGGAAGGATGGCTCAGTGGTTAACATCACTGGCTCATCTTGTAGTGAACCCTAGTTAGATTCCCAGCACTCATGTGGTAGCTGACAACCATCTGTAACTATAGTTCTAGGGGATCGAACATCCTCTTCTGGCCTCCACGGGAATTGAACACTACCTACATGAGGGTAAAACAGTCATACACATAAAATGAACTAAATTAAAATATAAAGGAATGACACTCAGAATAAAGAATTCCCATATACTATTAATTCCATGGACTATAAAGAGGAATAACAGTGTTCATCCTTATTAATCATCAAGAAAATGCAAATTATATTTACAATATGGTACCACTTTGGTCCCATCAGATTTCCATATAGTTAACAAATATTTATTGAATAACTATTAAGCTCCGGGCACTTAATGAGCAAAAGGAAACTCAATAAACAAAAACAAAAAAATAAATCAAATATTAGAATGTAGTTAAGTACTAGGAGAAAGGGCAGGGGCATAAAGGAAGGAGGCAAAAGAGATACAGAGAATGGGGAGAAGAGCATAGGTTAGTGCTAAACTAAACTATGTTCAAAATGGGTCTTTTTGTGAGAGTTATATCTGATCAAGACTTGAAGATCAAGTCAAGAGAGTTACTCATGGAAAACATTTAAGAATGTGGAGCAAAAGCTACACACTTAAAAGGTACAGAGGTTAATGTGTGCTGGAAACCAAATCTGGGTCCCCTATAAGAGCAGCTATTGTGCTTAATCACTAAGCCATCTCTCCAGACCCTAAACATACTCTTTAAAGGCTGGATTATTCATAGCAAGGCAAATGGGTTATTTTTAAAATTTTATTATTTTTATTTTATGTGTATGCCTGTATTGCCTGCATGCGTGTCGTGCAATGCCTGCAGAGGTCAGAAGAGGCTGTCAGATCCCCTGGGACTGGAGTTATGGACAGCTGTTAGCTGCCATGTGGGTGTGGGATTTGAACCTGGGTCTTCTGCAAGAACAGTGTTCTTAACCACTGAGCCATCTCTCCAGCCCAAGGCAAATGCTTTTAATATACCATATTTACATAAATTATTGAAGTTATAAATAGCTTTCCAAGTTTGTGAGATGTTTAAAAATGTTTTAGGTTTAATGACAGACATTATTGAAAGTATGTGAAATTTACCAAAATAATTGTGATCTATGTAGAATGTCCTAGAGTAAAGCTCTTTAGAGAAAAAGAACTATTGTCTTTCACTATTAAATAAGCCATTTTGTGTTCTTCCACCATAGCAGGAAATAAGCCAATAGAAAAAGTGAACAGAAGTTGTTGGGAGATTGACTGGTAGGTGTGTTAGTGAATAAGTCCTTGTTTTCCAAGACCTTAGGGTATTTTCTGGAGTGTAGGCAAAAGAAGTTCCAACTATGGAATGAACCCTTTCAAATTTAGATGCAAATCTAACTTTATCTAATCTCTAGTTCATTTATTTATTTCTAAGTATTTTATTTATTATTTTTACTTTATGTGTATGAGTGTATTGCCTGCATGCATGTAAGTGCACCTATGTCATACAATTCCTGAGGAGGTCAGAAGAGTGCATCAGATTCTCCTCAAACTGGAGTTACCAATATTTTTTTAGTCACCATATGAGTGCTGGGAATCAAACCCGGGTCCTCTGCAAGAGCAGTCAGTGCTCTTAACCACTGAGCCATCTCTCCAGCCCCCTAGTCTCTAATTTAAATTCTAGCTCTTTTACCTTCTTTAAACTTATACACAAGTCTTCAAAAAGATTACTTTTATATAATTAGTAAATGCAAATATAAATCTTACTACAGATACATGATATATAACCAGTACTAATAAAGGTAAGCATGTAACAGTATTCTAAAAACTACCAAAAGTAATTATTAAATTACTAAACTGCAAGTAAGCAAAAATGGCAAGGTTTCACTATGAGTTCTTTTAGGATTTAAATCTGATTTTCTGAAACTCAGTACTGTGGACAGTTTAGTCTGGGCAATATTTTGTTCTGAGGAGCTGAGCTGTGTTATGCAGGGCACTGATCAGCATTCCTACCCTCTTCTTATTCACGTCAGTAACAACTTCCCTGGTGGTAGCAAGCAATTGCCGGGGTTTACCAATGTCCCATGGATGGCAGGAGGGCTGAAATGCCAAAACTGTCTCTAGAACGAGTTCTCAATTAAATTACATAAATGACAAGTCTTTTGCAAGGAGGTGGGAATAAAGATGTCAGAGTGATAATCCATGCTGAAGTTTAATTAGCACCCCATTCACTTCTCTGCCTCAATCCTACAAGGCTCCTAACAGTCTGGAGGAATTAAAAGTAGCCCTTCTGTGCTAAGGGTTTTCCCAGAACAAAGAAAAGGCAATGTGGCACAATTAATGTCAGCCTGACCCTGTTACAACTCTATAGTATAAAACCACTCAATCTAGAATGTATGCTACCATATAGGAGAGACAAAAGGACTGAAGTACAAAGGGGGAACAAGCACAGAGTAGAAAAGACAACACCGTGCTGCACTTTGAGCTTAGCCTTCAGATGTGAATCTGCTGAGCCATGTGCTGGCGAATAAACACTGCTTTTTATCTCTGTTGGAGCTTCCATCAACACTCCTTCTGTAGGTTAATAAGTCCATGTATAGTGCCTTATCTGTCAGCTCCTCTGCTCATCCCAAGATGGTAGCCTACTCCAATGATGTTGGTCTCTATACAGCAAATACTTGAAGTTCTAAGCCAAGTTGTGTTGAAGTAATCTTATTGTAGATCTGCTTTGTGCTATGGGAGATGATGCAGAAAAGCAAAATAAACAAAAACCAAGTCTGATGAGTAAAACAAACAGCTGACCATACTGTAATGATTAAGACAAAGCAAGATGGGGTGGAGTGTTACGGTATGAATGCATCTATCCTCCTAAGATTCACGCTTACATCCTCACCCCATGGTGATGGTTTAAGAAGGTGGGGCCTCTGGAATGTGATTAGGTTTGGGGGGGTAGGACAACCAGGTTAACTTTTATGAATGGGATTGAGGCACCTTAAAAGAAGTGCCAGAGAGACCACTAGCCCCTTGTATACAGGATAGCACGAATCAGAAAGCAGATTCTCTCTCACCAGACACTATTAGTACTTTGATCTTAGCAGTACTTACATTTCTTACTAGAAATGTGAGAAGTAAATTACTGTTGTTAATTAGCTATTCAGTTAATGGCATTTTGTTATGGAAGCCCAAATAGACTGATGTAGGGGAATGAATATGAAGTGTGAGAGTAAAGGATGGGCTACAATTTAACCATAGGCACCAGGGCCAACCAGCATGGGACAGTGTTCTGCCAAAGCATCTACTTTGTGATTTATTTAGTACCTGAAAATAGTCTCTGTAGTTAAACAAAACGGTATATAATTAACCTGTCTTTAAGATAGGAAGTACTGAAATAGCAATATGTTGACTTCAATATTGAACTTCCAAACAACAAAATCAAGGCCAAGTATTGTCTCCCTAAAATACAGGACTGTTTTGTGGTATGGTAACTCAGAAAAGTCACTGCCTTGATTGTCTCAGCATACTGACCATGGAAGACAAGTAGGCAGTGTGCTACATCTTCCCCAAACAAAGCAAAGCCAAATGGGCTTTTTAAATAAAATTCTGGGCAATTATATAAACTAGAATTTATTAATTTTTCAGTTTCCTCAGATCTATCAACTCAGGACCAAGGAGCAAAGAGGGGGTGGTCCTGTGCTTTACACATAAAATAGCTTAACTCATGGCTAAAAATTTTCTGTTTCTACTGATGTCATTGTTAGAGAGAAAACTATGGTATAACCAAGCTAGTCTTTTAAGTCACCAATTATTTGATATTGATTGATAGCCATAAATTATACCATAATGAACACATCTAGCAGTCACTAATACCTCAAAATCTAGTAGATATTTTAAACTTATTAAATATTTCTTTCAGAAATCCTTAACGGAAATTTAAATACATATATATATAAATAATGCATTCTTTGGTATACTTTTTTATTTGCAAGAACGGGAAAGAGACCAAAACAAACACAAAATAGAAATAGATTTTTTTCAATAGCTGGGCATGGTGGTACCTGCCTTTGATATTTTTAATTTTTTTTTAATGTGGAGCATTCTTATTAAAATCTACTCTAAAGAAACAATACATTAAACCACAATATAATTTAAGTTTTTATGTTGCATTTAAAAAGGCTCGGCCCTCAATCATCAAAACTATAATTTTATGCTTCTCAAAGTTAACCCGCAGTTCACTGGTAATTTATTTGTAGAAAAAAGGATCACTGGATAAAACATTTATAGCTTTTCACCCCTGTTGGCCAATCAATCTTAAATGGACAGGCTGTTTGCTTTTCATTTTATTGGAAGAAATTTTCAAGGTCTTATTGTTTAGTATTATCTAATCAAATTCTTGATAAATGTGCTAAATACTGTTCCAGAATTACCTGTTTCAAAGATCTTCTAACATCTAATGAATCACTTCCTCCTGACAGTCCTTACAAACATACTGATTATACGGAAAATAAGTTAGGCCCTGCAGGAATCTGGGCAGAAGACATGAAGAGATCACAATTCCATGAAGAAACACAAGCAATTTCAGCAATGTAAAAAACATCATTAAAAAGAATATGCAGCTTTGTTTAGGAGCAAAGCAAATACTCACCTTCACCTGACACATCAGTGAAAAACAGTCCACCCAGTTCTCCCCTTTTATCACTCCAAATTCTCAGTACTCATTTTCTTCTCCAGAGCCTTCTTTATTCTTGACCTGGTCATAAAGACCCAATACACATACCTTGTGGCTTTGGACTTGCAGCTGAGCGTTTTGCTGGTGTCTTCCCATTTATTCCCTGAGCCCCTGTGGTTGTGTTGCTTGTTGTACAAGGTGGATTGATGGTGACCTTCGGACAGGTTCTGCTGCCTAGAATTTAAAAAGAAAGGGCAGGTAAATACAGAGGCCCAGCACACCTCTTGTCTAGTAAGTTAATGACCCCATAAAACAAAAACTGCTTCTCTAGATTGAGCATAGACATACTTTCCCCACCTGTGCTGTCCTTGACGGGGGTTTCCTGGAAAATATGTTTTGTGCGCTTAGAAATCTTTGAATTCACAGTGAAGAAAGGTTGTGACATAAAGACCCCTCTCTCTCTCAGTGGCCAGAGAACACAGCTGCTACCATTTCAGTATCCAGTCAGTTACTAGCGATTAAGCAACTCAAAAGAATGAAGCAGGAAAGTGCCAATGTGACAGTTGACCTGAAGACCCTCGAAAATGGTTTGAATTGAAATGATCAAATGCACACCCTTTCCCTTATCCATGAGCTTATTGCTCAGATTCCCACAGAGGCTAGGAGCCAAGCGTGTTCCACAATGCTGACACATTTGAAGGGGAAAGATAGTCTTCTATTCAATTTCTGACAAGCTATATGCTGAATTTCAGAAGCTTAAAAAAAAATCATTTACCAGTATTTTCTCTTTACATATATATTCAATTTCCCTCTGTTGGGGATGACATGGAAATATTAAAAACAAACTAAACACTGATTATGAGAAAATAAAATTGTTTCCTTTAAAAAATATATTTATTATTTTTATTTTTTATGTGTATTGCCTGCATGTAGGTAGATGCACTAGTGTCATGCAATGCCCACGGAGGTCAGAAGAGGGCATCAAATCCCCCCCGGAACTGGAGTTATGGACAGCTGTTAGCCACCATGTGGATGCTGGGAATTGAACCCGGGTCTTCTGCAAGAGCAGTCACTCTTAATTGCTGAGTCATCTCTCCAGTCCCCGAGAAAATAAAATCTCCATCAGGAATTAATTATACTGAAACAAAGCAGGTCTTTTAAGAAGCTATCCTTTATTTAAGACAGGAAGTTTCATTTTTATATACTTGGAATACCTTAAAAAAACACTATTCAACATTTTAAAAGTCTTAAAATCATTCAAAACCACAAAAAGGTAACTTGAAAAGTCCAGATAACTATCTACTCAGTCAAATTTCCTCTAAACCCAAATGATCAAATAATATGTATTAAAAACATAACTGCTTTATTTTTTGTGCTCTCCTTAAAATTACGATGGTAAAACAGATCTTAGGAAATATGAACAATTCCAAGTACTATCTGAGAATTTATTAGCAGGCCAATGCTAAAGTATAAATAAAATGGCTTTCAACAGACAGCTTTTGGTTAAAATGGTGTATTTCTTATCTGATTTTAAGTACTATTTAGCAAAACAAGCATTATGGAAGACTTTGACAGAATACTATTAAAATTCTTAACTGAAGAAACAAAAGTTAAATCTTTTTTCTCTCCAAGTGCTGGGATTGCATCTATACACCATCAACCCACCTAAAAGTTAAAATTTTTAGATGTATACTTTTTTTCAGAAAATACACAAAGCCCATGCCTTAAAACTACAGCATGCCAAGCAACTACCCAGTCTTTGAGGGGATTTGGATATAATTTGTACAGTACTTTCAACCTAAAGACCACTTGCTGGGGTCCTGTGAAGGACAGATTTGTGGCTGAATCAGTGAAAAGCAAACCAGAGGAGAAAACTAACATTATCATAAAATGAGACTTTGCCAAAGGAAGACTGAACCTTTGCCCTCTTTATAAAAGTAACATCAAAACTATAAAGAGGGCAGTTAATGTGTTAAATGAAAAAAAGAGTCTTTAAAAAACAGACCACCACTGTCACATATTAAATAAGAAACAATTAGTACATTTAGAAATAAGCTGTTTTACAAAAATATTAATTTGAAATTGAAAACTAGGTGCCTAACTTCTAGACAGGAAGCGTACCCAGTTTGATAGGTTTTTATAGATGCTGTATTTATACAGAGCCTCTCTCAAGGATGCACTCAAAATGTCTACAATAAGAGATCAATTACACAGCTATGTTTTCATCAAGTCATTTTAGTGGAAGAATTCTCAAGGTCCCATTCCTTAACATTATCTAATCAAATTCTTGGTAAATATGCTACAACAATCACGTGAGACAAAGCAGCACTACAAGACTGCGAAGTCTGTTACAGACCTGCCACAGTCAGAATCTTCATTTCAGACTGCTATTCAAAACAAGTCTCTAGCTCCAACCACAGTTGCAAAACATAAAAACACATGGAAGGATACGGAGTACACTAACAGTTTATTAAAGTTATTTATAAGAAAAGCAATAAGTATAAAAGCAGGGCCAAGTCTCCTTCCCCCAGATTTACTGCCTTGCACTTCCACAGAAAGTTTTCTGAGCACTCATGTGTCACATAATTATTGAGAAGAATGTTTGCTAAAACCTGCCACATTTCATTAACTACTCCATCTTCCATCTTGAACACCTGTAACAGAATGAAAACTTTCTGGTTTATGACTGACTCTGCCCCCTTACTTTGGAGACAGTCCTACTGAGATGAACTGAAATCAAAGGTTCTGTCTAGCCAAGAAATTTTACATTAACTTCAGGGGCTCTTAGATTCCAAAGTGACCTATAATTAAACAGTTAGCTTTGGCACAGATATAACAGGTTGTGCCTTTGTATGGATGCGTGTATTACCACTTAAATACTTTCTCATTTTGAGGATTGGGACTTAGTCATTGTTCCTAACTCATTTTGCACTCTGTCTTGTTGGGCCATTGCTTCTATATGAATTCTTCACTCTAACTTCAAAGCATCTCAACCCATCCTCACTGCTGAAGGTATAAGCCTCCCTGTTACAACTCTATAGGTTGCCCTGTGGCTTCAATTTCCTTTACTTGATTTTTTGCAGTTCAAGAGTTAGGCACTATGGTGATACTTTTCAGTGACATATTCTCTTTGACTAGTTAGGGTGGTTTTGGCTACTATTTGCAAAAGTTTTGTGTTGGGCTGTTATGGTTTACGAAATCTTCCAAGAGTTTAGCTCCTTCACGTTTTATGTTTGGACTTTCTCTGGCCATACATTCCAGAGGGAAGCTCACTCTATGGTGTCTGTGACTTCAGAATTTAGCTTTATAGTCTTGCTTATGGCCACAATAACACTGCTTCATCTCCTAGTAATAAGCCTCTTAACTGCCCTGAATTTTGAACTTAGATTTCCATGGATGTAATCCTCAACATAAGCCTGCAAATCACCTGGATCTAAGAGAGCAGAAGTTATTTCTTACAGCAATCTTTGTAGAAATAAATTTCCTGGAAGTACAGAAATATTAAAAACAAATACCAAAATAACAACAACAAAAACATTTAAAAATAATGTTAGATTTACAAAGGAGGTATAGTCAGATTCTTATACAAAAAGGGTTGATCAATAAAATATCTGACATTTAATTAAGCATGGAACATTTTATCAACACTTTAGAACAATACTGAATGATAGCTCTTATTCAGATTTCACTTATTTTCTACAAATTTTTTTTCTCTTTTAAGAGAAAAAACTCATTTTGCACTTTGCTTTGTTGAACCACCACATTGCTTTAGCCATCACTGTCTCTTGATATACTCTAATCTGTGAGAAATACTCAACTGTGAGTTGATATACTCTAATCTGTGAGAAAGACTCAACTGGTCTTGTATGTCTTCAGCACTTTGGAAAAATATTGTTGGGTATTTTGTAGAGAATTCCCTATAAACTGAGTTCCTCATGATATGGTGTCATGGGTCTGGAGAAGACTTTCACAGAGGGATATGCCCATCTCACTTCATTTTGCCACTGCAGGGTATCAGCATGATTAATCTGTGTTTACCTTGGCCACTTGAGCATGGGTTTTGGTCAGATGTTTCTAGTATAAAGCACTGTTTTTTTTGTTTGTTTGTTTTGTTTTTGGTGCGTCTGTACTTGGATGTGAATATGCACACCTGTGCGGGCACATGCAGAGGCCAAAGGATGACAGTGGGCTATCTTCCTCAATTACTTCAAGACCTTATTTTTAAAAAAATCTCTGTGTGGGAGGCACACATACCATGGCCTATGGAGATCAGAGGACAATCTGGAGGAGCTGATTCTCTCCTTTCACCTTTATTTGGGTTCTGAGGATTGAACTCAAGTAGCTATCGCTTTTACCTACTGAACCATCTCACCAGTTCATCTACCTTATTCTAAGACAGGATATTTCAGTGAATCTGAAACTTAAGGCTTTCAGCTAAGTAGGAAGGCCAGGGAGCCCCTGGGACCCCTGTCTCTCCCTGCCCCCCAGTGCTGATGGAGTTACAGATATATGTCACTATGTCTGGCTTTTTATGTGTATGCTGGAGTTAAAAACTCAGGTCCTCATGCTTGTACAGCAAGCACTTTTACCCAGTGAGGCATCTCCCCAGTTGTCAGATTTCTCCTATCAACCCTTTAAAAATTTCCACATTTATCCCACAGACTGTGGAAAAGGGTCCTATTTCAAGTGCTAGCTAAAATGCCTGGGCTAAGAAATCAAGTGCACTGTAATAATAATAATAATAATAATAATAATAATTATTATTATTATTATTAAAATTCTAAATC